TATTTTTTTAACTTTATTGGTTTAGATTTTCGCGAATTTGTAGTAATTCTTATGGTGAAATCTTTGATACTAGTAATCGAAATGAAAAATTCGATACCATCGTGATTAAACCCTGTTCACCATGGTCAAACTCCAGTGGGCTTCAGTTCATAACAAGGTTATGACTACCACTAAATTAGATCAGCTGATCAATAAAATCAGAGGCTATCTGATATCACAGTGCTTCCAGAAGTCCGATATAGGTCAGCCAAGAAGGTAAGCCAGATTAAAATAGATATTGGCTATTGCTGTTCCAATCTATATGAATTTCACCCTGAAGAGAATAGAAGGGGACATGAACGATGCCAAAAGAGTAATATTTAGATAGAATAGGTTCAAGGCGTAATTTTCATAATCAGAAAGTAGATAAATCGATAAGGCAACAGAGTAAAGCACAATACGAACGAGTTAGAAGATTATAAAGATCGAGACTAGGTTTGAGTGGTGAAGAACGAACAGCAACGATAATGACTTCTGATTTAATATTTATTAAATCTAGCAAGACTGACATGTAACCGTGAAAAAAATTATCAAAATCTGATTAAAATTCATTAATTTTAGTCCTTTTTTACTTATTTCCATTATTCTAAGTGCCTTATGAGTTAAATTATTTTTCTGCTTCGTTCTGCGTTAAATTGTCTTTCAGATGTATGTAAAATTATTGATTTTCCCAAAGCATGCAATTAGGACGTTAGATTTTAATATTTTCTAACTTGGCTGACTCATCAAAGACTCGTATCACACCATTTTTGCTGCTTCGTTTGCTTCTACTTCGCGACATATTCGGTGATCCCGCTCATTATACCATGAATTACAAGACTCAGACGTCAGTAAGGAATAAATTCATTAAAGAGCAACGCATTATTTGATCTCGATCGCAATTTCTCAACTACATCTATTTGGCTTTTCAAATCAGGAAAATCCCTTATTTTGATAGATCAACCTAGACCCTACAGTTTGCACATTGGCATAACTGCATTACAGTCGTTACTCGTTAAATTTTAAATATCATCGGGAGAGTGACGCGCATCTCAATAATGGACAAATCGATTTTTTCGTTTGCGAAGCCTAATTTAGTCATGTAATCCAGTACATTGAGCATTATACCTACTAGCCCATTCTTTCCTTATACAATGTAAGTAACTTTCCAGCAACATTTTACGTGGAAGATTTGCAGCACCATAGAATTTCTCAAATAATCTTTCACTAAAATCATCTCTTACGCATTTCGGATAAATGGTCTGCCATTTGCTCAGAGATCTATAAATTAACGTTTGTTTGGTAATAAAAATGAAAAAGCAAATGGGTGGTCCATGGGAGAAACGAAAGTATATCAGAATTAAACCGAGAAAAGCTTTGAACGATTTCGATGAATAGGAGTTAAAATAATTAAAAGTGTATAAAATAGAATAAAATCCAATTTGCATAATGCACATTGAGGAACTGCAGCTAGATATCGATTACCATCGATCGCTAAGACAAATGAGGATAAGGCCAGGAACCTGCGTCAGGGGATCTGCAACCAGCTAACGTAAAATTGACCAATCGAACCCCATCGCAATAGAAATTTTGTACATTATTACCCTCAAATTTAATGCACCCGGGTAATATAGTAGGAACTTAATTTACTTTGCTATAATTGGGGTCATTGACCTGAAGACGGACATTTACGAGGAGAAAATTTCACAATGTTCTCATTAAGAGTATCAAGTCGTATTTATTTTCAGTGACTCTGAAAGTTAAGGTAGGAACTTCTTCAGTCATTTTATTTATTATCAAATCAGGAACCAATTTTTACATTTCTTAATGACTGTTTCTCGAACAGCTCCACTTGAGATCTACAATCTTCCCAACATTGTAATAATAAGCCCAAGATAAAGAAAAAGTTTACGGAACCTAGACACAATTGATTAATCCTGCCCATTTGTGTTACAGGGTTTTCGCGTTTGCGCGGATTAAATACCATAAAACGACAGCGGCAAACCGTGTTCCCATGCAAGGTGAACACATGAAATGTCAATCACGTCTTTGCTTAATCACCAATAGCGAAGTATCCGAAAGTTGAGCTCACTTTCATAACAACCCTAGATCGTTGGTCCACAAGTAAATGCCACCCCATGAACTCCCTATTTAAATGGACTAGAATGAAGAAAAACTACAGCCTCGATAGAATTGAACTTCTGGAAGGAGTATTCCTCAAAATTTTGGGTTTATGTGGTCGACAAAGTTTTATTAAAAAATTAATTTAAGGGGCAGGTGATGGTTTCATGGGAGTTCAGAGTCTTTAACAGCTCGAGGTAGTTGACATGATCGAATTTCATTAAAATGCAGTTGAGTTCAATGAAAAATAACCGATTGCTAACCTTAAACTACATTATGTAGAACTTGTAACGGTATTATAGATACAAATTAATGACGTAAAGGTATATACTCTTTACCAAATAACAAATTCTGATGAATTTCTTTATAATTCATTAAAAAAATTGTTGTTCAATGGTTCATATTTGCACATATTCGATTTTTCTTATGCATTCATTGTGTTGTTTATATCACCTTTTTCTTTTCAAACCACTAGAACCTATTTTGAATATTCTGTTTTTAAAATTTATATTTATTAAAATTTCATACTTACGAATATTCAAAGTGAGCATTTACTGGCCGATCTATTTTGATCTTAATGAACGTAATGCTTAATAGTGTGATATTTATAAAAAATCAATAAGAATACGATTAGCATTCCAAATTACTACACAATGAAAATCATTACTTTGAAGAAGAAGCAAACCATATGAACCGATTTTTTCGATTTATTATATTAGCGTGACCTTTCTGTTTATGTCAAGCCATGCTTATTCGAAAACTGAGACTAATTAATGTACTTCAGGAGTGACATTGACTTAGCATAAATCAAATCCCGCGAATTAGGATTTATTAAAATTCTATATTTCGACGAAATTATGAATTAAAATGTGCTGAACTGAAACGAGCGTTTGTAAATTAAATGAATTTATTGCCTTTTAAAGCAGCCAAGACGTCGGGACCAACATACGTCCGGGTAATTAAGAAATATAATTAGCTCACCCTGAGGCAAAATATTGACTTTACGGCAGTGAGCTTTACTATCGACATTGAGTAGCGTTCTCATTGGCATTACTTTATCGTTAACCCAGTTCAAGGTTCACTAACTTGGCAATCATGAAATATCTTTCTGACCCCTTCCACTACTGTTGTGCAAATACAAATCAGCTTGATCATGGTGATGATCTAAGTCAAAGTAGCTTGAAAAGGTATTAGCAGAATCAACTAAAATTGTGCCAATGGCAACTGTAATTTCTTCGGTTGATGAAAGCTTAAAACTAGCGCTTAAACTGCCAACCAAACTTTAAGCTCAATGCACTTTCTTATTTGTGCATGAACTACCTGTCTGTTAAATATTGCTAGCTGAGTTGAGTCCGATTATGTTTACCTTAATCTCTGGGCTATTTTCGTAAATATGCGAAGGAGATAATGATTTTTTTCCCTACAGTTTCTAGGGTTACCTACAGCCTTTGGGAGAAATCGTACTACATAGCAAAAATCTACCTAAATGAATCGGTAAACACGCAATAGTCAAACGGACAAGACTACTAATTGCACTATTGTTATTTTCCCTCACATGAAGAGCAAAGGAAAGAATATTCTTTATTTTCTTTACAGAAATTGCACAACTGACTACCATTGAATCAGTTAATGCTTCGCTAATTTATCTTTCACCGCTCTCGCACCAGCACATGCACACACAAAATTTGATTAGAAACACCCAATCTTTGGTAGATTATTAAGATTATCTCTAATTTCATTATACCTCGTTGCGATTAACTTAGTTAATTGCCAAATGCATCAATTGATCGATCAAAATTGAGCTCGAAATTTTTAGCAAATGGAAATGAGAAGTTAAAAGAACTACTACTTGATTTTTGCTACATTCAATTAGGATCGCCTGAATAATTTGCATGCACAGAATCTGGTTTTCGTGGGTTTCGATTATCGATTGATTATCGTTCAGTACAAAAGGAACATTTTTATTGATTAATTTGCACCCTGGAAGAATCGACAAATTGTTCGGCCTAAATAATCACGATTCCCATACTCAAATAAGCATTGGATCAGCAACTGGCGAATTCACTAATTCCTATTCTGACGCAATTTTACTCTAAATATCCATGACTTTACACTGCATAGAAAATTATTCCATATCATAGACACTTCTCATAATCACAACTAACAATTTACAAACTGGATCATTGTACGCAAATGGAAAGGCAACTAAATTTACCAATCTGAAAATCGTCAATAGTGTTAATCGACAGACCTAATTAGTACCCGTGACTAAATACGTTGCCCAAGATACAAGCTTATCGGATTTTTAAAATCTTGAATTAATAACGATCCTCATCTCATGCTAACTGTTCTAAATAATCTGATCTTTTAACAGTTAATTACCAATGACCAATGGGAAATTTTGAACTATTTCGATTTGACTATTTAACCTGAATTTTGGTGATTTTCGGGAAAAATGGGAATAGTTAAAGATTTGGGCGTTTACTTCCACGCAAACCCCCTCCCTCTTCCCCAAACACCCGATAACGAAAAGCATAGTAGAGGTAGTAAAGCTAATATTATTGATAACAGACACAGGGAAGGAAAATTCGCTACATTTGGTGTATATACCATATGTACACAGAAGCGAAATGGCGCTATTGTCTATCGATTGGTCGTCTGTAGAAGTCTGGGGAGAGGGTCTACACGGAATGATTTCAAGGGAAAAGAGAGAAGGGCATGTATACGAGGACAGAGGACTAATATAAAAGACTGCTGTCACAGAACTGTCAAGCGCATACGCTAACATAGTGTCTCCAAGAGGGCAAAAGGTCATTTTCAAGGAGCAGGGGACATCACAATACGCGGGGATCTGTGAAAATTTACATTGGAGAGGGTGAACTGGGATTTTGTTGTTGGCGTTGATTGCTGCTAATTGAGGCCTTTACAACTGTGGAAAGCGCGTCTTTCACTGTGTGATAGATCATGTTCTTCACTTGCAACTTGTCTTCGTGACTTGGATGATTTCTAGGCAACCGACGGAATTCTTCTGTCAATTCGAGACATTGAGACACATGTTCCGGTGAAATAAAGTCTGATGAGACATTTATGCAGTTGGCAACATTTCGTACCTATAAAGAATAAAATTTACGAATATTTATTTACCAATCATTGAGAACTGTTTTCCTTACACCCAACTTGACAATTTTAAAAAATGAAAAGTGCGCAAAATATACATATATGAATAAGAACAATAATAAGCTATATCAGGATCTGACAAATTTTTGTCACATTTCTCAACCACGTGAAGATAGGTTTGACCCAGTTTACTGGAGAACATTTGACCTCAGGTGTCTCGTACAACCAAGATTTAGAAAGTTAGCTGTAAGATTTAGTTTTTCTCCCAAATCATGCATACTCTATCGTTCTGGTTAAATTAAATTGTTTAAATTCACTTTTCTCGTCCTAAAGTCTAACCATATTCAATTGGAAAGCTTGAATAAAAGTCAGCGACATTAAAATATCACCTTATTTAACTACAATGTTTCCTCGTTAAACACGATAGGCTGCAATCGTTGATCGAGAATTATCGACCCACTTATTAACCGTATCAATTAGTTTACCCCTATTGGTTAATGACATTAATAAATATCGCGTCTATTTTCTCGCACCATTAGTCAAATAGAACTCAAATCACATTTCGAGTTGCATTAGATTAGAGCTAAAATAGCCCACGAGTTGCGTAAATTAAGCGGATCAATGCACGCATCTAAATAGGTTCAATTAAGCCAGCAATGGGGGGGAATAGTCAATCTCAATTAGCATTGGCATTAAAACAAAATGAGGAGTTTGAAAAGCACTTTAGCAAATAGCCCACTTCGCTGGCGAGAGAGGCTCGCGCATGTGACCACTTTCCTCTCTCCCCCACTCTCCCACACCTCCGCACACAAACAAACATTCAGACGCTCATTTTTAATGACTGCGTGGGGGCGGCGGTGGTTTTGTTCATTAATTTCTACCGCGCGTTGTCTAGACCGCAAATGATTTAATTTGTTAGGCAGACGCGTTGGCTTGGATAGGCTATGTTTAGAACGATAGAAGTAGCAAGAGGTTTCAATGCGCGCTTGTTTACTAGCTAACCACCAGGTAACTTAACAACTGCGCAGTGAAATGAGGCACAAAATTTGCTCTCTTTAAGGACAGTGGCAGTAGATAGACCAAGAAAATAAGTGTTTGTGGTTTTACCAGAAAACTGCTCTATTTATCGAGTAAAGAAGGCATGGAAACAAGATGTCTGCCATCATAGACACTGATATACTCGAGTTTTATCATCATTTGGCGTGGATAAAAAAGACCAAATACCGACACTATGAATCCAATTTCAATTAATAGAGACTTGGACTTGACCCCACGGGTCCTGAGTAGACCTTGCTCTATACAGCTGATTGCGTGTATGCATCTCTTATAACTAGCAAAGCTAAGTATATGAAAAACAAAAAAATTATCGCCTTGAAAATTTCTGCCGCTAAAATTGAGCGAAATCGCAGTCGCTTTTGAGAAACGAAGCAGTATTTCGAATAAATAAATAAATAGTAAAGCTTGGTAGCTACTTACCTGATGAACAGAGCCAGCAGGAATTAGTATTGCATCACCGGGGAATTGGAGAATAGTGTAGGGTTTAATTCCTGTCTCAGCTCTCAACTTTTCCAGCTGCTCTTGTGAAAGGAACATACGTTGATCGTGGATCACATCACCTCCTGCTGAGCTCTCCGACCTCGAAGAACTTTGGGATGAAAGTTTATCGATTTTTATTAGGAACTCCCGAAGTCCCGCTGTGTCACAGGGTCGAAATATGTGCCATACTGCGCCAGGGAGTCCTAATATCAATAGGAGAAATGGCATTAGCAATGGGTAGGATAAGTAGACACGCCTTTTTCCATAGAGCACACTTCTTACTCTGAGATTTTGAAAATTCATATTCCTATATGTCTATTTGGGGTGCGCGATATACTTACTTCCAAGTGGTGCACTCTGGGCAACGTATACTCATATGGCAAAAAAGTCTATAAAACGGTAGTTGACTTCTGACTTCAAACTACCATCACCCCCACTGTATATCATATTCGACCATTCACAGTACTCACCTTACCCTACTCTCTAACTTTGTGTCTGTCTTATACATCCATCTGTGAATCATTTTTCTGTTCCTCCTCCCTCGACTTGTTGTGACTTTGATGTTCCCCCCACCTCTCTGTGAAACCCGAAGTCAGCTAAAGGGCTAATGATAACTATCATAGGACCTGCCATTCGATATCAATAAATGTCTATTTTGACAACGACCAACAATAAC